ACACCAAGGGTTGCGATCCCATTACCAGTCAGTAAAAAAAAGACAAAAAGGAAAAAAAAAATTAAATACCAGTAACAGGTGAAAATCTTGAAACTATACAAATACTTGGAAACTACACAACAGGCTCCTAATGACCCATGGGTCCAAGAAGAAATTAAAAAGGAAGTCAAAAAGACACATTATACCAATACCTGTGGGATACTACAAAAGGAGTACTAAGGGGAAAGTTTATTGCAATTAATTCTTACATTAAAAGAATAGAAAAACTTCAAATAAACAACCTAATGCTACACCTCAAAAAACTAGAAAAATGTAAACAATCCAATCCTAAAAGTAGTAGGCGGAAAAAAATAATTAAGATTGAGCAGAACTAATTGAAATAGAGGACCCTGAAAAGATACAAAAGATCAATGAAACAAAAAATTATTTTTTTGAAAAGATAAACAAATTGAACAAACCATTAGCTAGGTTAACAACAACAATGACAAAAAAAGAGAAGACAGAATACCCAAATAACAAAAATCAGAAATAAAAAAGGAGACATTACATGTGATACCACAGAAATGTAAAGAATCATTGCAGACTAATATAAACAACTATAAGCCAACAAATATGAAAACCTGGAGGAAATGGATAAATTTCTGGACACATACAAAGTACCAAGACTGAACCAAGAAGAAATAGAAAATATAAGCAGACGAATAACAGGTAATGAGAGTGAAATAGTAATCAGCAGTCTCCTGACCAAGAAAAGCCCAAGACCAAATAGCTTTTCTGCTGAATTTTATCAAACTTTTAAAAAGGAATTAATATAAATTCTTGTAAATTTTCAAAAAAAATTGTAACAGAGGCCACTGTCCCAAATTCATTCTATGAGGCCAGCATTTATCTGATACCAAAACCATACAAAAATAAAAGAAAAAAAGAAACCTACAGACCAATATATTTGATGAACATAGATGTAAAATTCCTCAACAAAATATTAGCAATTAGAATACAGAAACACATCAAAAAAGCTACATAACATGATCAAGTGGGGATGCAAGTATAGTTCTACATATGCAAGTCAATACATGTTATATAACACAGCAACAATATCAAGGAAAAACTATATAATCTTCTTAATAGATGCAGAAAAAGCATTCAACAAGATTTGAAATTGCTTCACAATACAGGCTCTCAGAAAATTAGGTGTAGAAGGAAAATATCTCAACACAATAAAAGCCATATATAACAAACCAATCATTAATATCATTCTGAAGGAGGCTGAAAGTGTTTCCCTTAAGAACATGAGCAAGACAAGGATGCCCACTCTCACCACTCCTATATAACATAATACTGGAAGTACTAGGCAGAGCAATCAGGCAAAAGAAAGAAAGTTCATCCAGATTGGAAAGGACAAAGTCATACTGTCCCTATTTGCAGATGATATGACCTTATGCATAGAAAAACCTAGAGACTCTGCCCAAAAATTCCTAGAGATAATTATTAATTTCAGTAAAGTTGCAGGATACAAAATCAACACCCCTAAATCAGTAGCATTTGTATTCTCCAATAATGAAGTAGCAGGAAGAAAGAAAGAAAGGAAGGAAGGAAGCCCAATATAATAGTCACTAAATAAATAAATAGATAATAAATAAATAAACAAACAAACAAACAAACAAATAAATAACCTAGAAGTCAATTTAACCAAGGAGGTAAAAGATCTCTACAATAAGAACTAGAAAATACTACTGAAAGAAATTAAAGAGGTCACAAAGTGGTGGGAAGACATTCCACGCTCTTGGATTGGAAGAATTAGCATTGTCAAAATGTCCATATTACCCAAATCAATCTACAGTTTCAATGCAATTCTCATCAAAATACCAATGACATTCTTCAGAGAAAAAAGACTGCCTCTTCAATAAATGGTGCTGGGAAAAAAAATGAAACAAGAACTGTACCTCTTGCTATACAAAAAAATCAGCTAAAAATGGATTAAAGACTTAAGTCTAAGACCCAAAATCATAAAGCTACTAAAAGAAAACAGGGGAAACATGTCAGGAAGTAGAACTGGGCAAAAAAATGTATAAATAAGTCCTCAAAAACACAAG